ATCAGTTTCATACCCGATCTTCTCGCATGATCAAGCCGTAGTATCTGCTCCGTTCAATTACATATCTGATCCGTGGTCCATTGAGACCTTTCTATTTAAAAAAAACAAAACAAAAGCACTCGCGCGCACGCGCGCGCGCGCGAGAGAGAGAGAGAGAGAGAGAGAGAGAGAGAGAGAGAGGTTTAGGTCCTTGCGCAACAGGTCCCCTAGTTGCCTACTTAATGGCTCTAGTCATTACATTTATGTTCAGTTTAGTTGTTTGGGCAATGATACCTTTTGATTATGGCATGGCACTGTTAGATTTAAATGTAGGTATGCCTTACATATTTGCTATTTCGTCTTTAGGTGTCTATGGTATTTTAACAGCAGGTTGGTCTAGTAGTTCCAAATATGCTTTTCTAGGAGCACAATCTGCTGCTCAAATGGTTTCTTATGAAGTTTCTATTGGTCTTATTATAATTACTGTATTAATTTGCGCAGGCTCTTGTAATTTCATGGAACTCGTCATAGCACAAAAACAGATGTCGTTATTTGTTTCTTTGATGGCTGGAAGTTCCTCAAAGATATGAAAAGCTGGAGGACTTTGTAGCATCCATTCAAGTGTAATTGAATTTGGATAAACTGTTCAAGGCGCTTGCAGAGCGTGCACTTTACCGGTCAAAGTGAGATAAACAACCACAAAAAAGCTGAAATTCCTACAACAGAAAGATACGAGCCAAAACTACTCAGTGCATTCCATCCGGCGTAAGCATCTGTATAATCCGGAATGTGGTGTGGCATGCCCGCAAGACTTAAGAAACTGCGTACGGATCCGGGCCGCCCGGCCGACCGGCGCCTGCCCGGGCGGCCTGGTCGGGCGGGCGGCCCGGTTGAGGGCCGGGCCCCCCCAGCACACCTTATTGGCGGGGGGTTTCTGACCCCGAATCGGCTCGATTTCGCGTTGCCAGGGCCTACCGGGTCCGACCACGCCGAGAAAACGGCGCGTCGGGCCCGTGAGGCCCGCTTTTTTTTTTTGAATTTTGGACGGCCCTCCGGCCGTCGATCATCCGTGACCGATGGCCAGAGGGCCGTTCGTTTTTGGAGGGAAAACGGAGGCCCCGTTTGAACAAGCGACTGGCTGGGGTGGTCTGCATTAGCTTTCCAAACAGGGCCTCTGCTCCAGCCACCTGCGTTCGTCCTTGGTGTGCGTGCGTCGTCGAAGCAGCTGCCCGTCGTCGCCATCGCCTGGGAGCTTCACTCGCCCGTCGTCGTCGAGTCGCCCGTCGCCAGCGTCGTACATCGTGGTGCTCGTTGACGAGGACTGCCTGCCAGCATCCACTGCCACCCGTCGACGAGGACTTCCGGTCCGTTCTTCTTCGTCTTCTTCTTCTTCTTCTTCTTCTTCTTCATCTCTCTTCGTCGTCCTCCTCCTCATCTTCTTCTTATTGTTCTCTCCTCCTCCTCCCCTTCCGACTATCTTCTTTTTCAGAATTTTTTTTTTTTTTTTTACATTCGTTCATGATAGGTCGGGAGATAAACGGCAGGTAAAAAGAAAAAAAGAACTACTCCGCTCGTCATCTTCTTCTTCTTCTTCTTCTTCTTCTTCTTCTTCTTCTTCTTCTTCTCTCCTCCTCCGCCTCCCCCTCGTCTTCTTCTCCTTCCTCTTCTCTCCTCCTCCGCCTTTTCCGCCCATCTTCTTCTTCTTCTTCTTCTTGGACCGCCATACCCTAACGGCATACCGCGCCGCCGTAACCCTAGCCGCCATTCTTCTTCTTCTTCTTCTTCTTCTTCTTCTTCTTCTTCCCCGCCACCACACCATACCGGCCTGCCGCCGCCGCCATCTTGTCCATCGTTTGGTAGGTCGCGTGAGGCGCGGCAGGTTAAAAAAAAAACAAAAAAACAAAAAAACATTGATAGTACTTACCTTCCTCCCTCCTATCTCACCATAGTCCCTCCCTCCCTCGCCATCTCGCCATTCCTCCCTCCCTCCCTCCCATTTTGCCATAGTCCATCCCATCTCCACATCCCGCAGTACTCCCTCCCTCCCTCGCCATCTCGCCATCCCTCCCTCCCTCCCATATCCACACCTCGCCATAGTATCTCGCCATCACTCCCTCCCTCCTCTCTCACCATAGTCCCTCCCATCTCGCCATCGGTCTATAGTCCCTCCGTCCCTCCCTAGCCATCTCGCTATCCTTCCCTCCCTCCCATCTCGCCATCCCTCCCTCCCTCCATCGATCCATCCCTCCCTTGGTCCATAGTCCCTCCGTCCCTCCCTCGCCACGTCTCGATATTGTAAAGCATCTTCCTCCATCGTAATATCTCCTGACACCCAGACAACCCGTCCCCCCACCCCCAAACCAGAATTTTATTGCAGATTCGGGGTCCTCTCGCCAAGCACAGGAGGACGCCGCCGCCCGGTTTGCCCGGGCCACCCACCCGGGCCCCGGCCGGCCGGGCGGCGTCCGTACTCAGTTAAGAAATGCATAGGAAAGTGAAATTCACACCAAAGAAAGTAATCCAAAAATGCATAGGAAAGTGAAATTCACACCAAAGAAATTAATCCAAAAATGAATTTGACCTATGGTTTCTGGATATTGAAGTGCAACGATTTTGCGTATCCAATAGTAGAATCCTGCAAATAGAGCGAATATGGCTCCCGTAGAAAGTATGTAATGAAAGTGTGCTGCTACATAACAAGTGTCATGTCGAGCGATGCCAAAACCAGAATGAGCTAATACAATTCCAGTAAGTCCTCCTATGGTAAACAAGAAGATGAATCCTACAGCGAATAACATAGGTGTTTTTAATTGTATTGAAACTCCCCACATAGTGAAGATCCAACTAAATATCTTGATTCCAGTTGGCACTGCGGTAGTCATGGTTGCTGCGGTGAAATAAGCTCGGTTCAATTGAACCACTAGTTTCCTAATGGCATTGGACTATATCTTTCACCAGAGAGAGAGAATGGCTGCTATCTGAGAATGCATTGCATGCTTGAACTATGTACTTAATCGCAGTCATGGTTTATTCTTCAGGGAATGGTTGTTGTGACACTGTTAAAGGAAGAATGGGATCACATGGTGTACTACTGAGTTGTCATGTGGATGATGGTGTTCTTCAGACAGGTTTCATGAGGTTTCTTTAGAAAGAAATCTGAAAATCCATTGCATGCCTGAAACTGTGTACTTGATCTCAGTCATGGGTTACCCTTCAGAGAATCGTAATTGTGACACCGTTGAAGGAAGAATGACAAGATTTTTGACTGTAGCTTCCAGTCATATTTCTTCTAATCATGTTGTAGTGGTTGTGCCTTCATACATGCCATTGTGTGCTGTGCAGCTATACGGTCATTGCAGGGTCTGGAGCCAGCTCACATAAACCTGCTGCTGGATGGGTTGGTTGCACCAATTGTGGCGGTTGATTTTGTGGATAACTTCGGTGGCGGTGTTCTTTCGAAACCCATGGCCATTGCTGGACAGTCAATGGATGCAGATGCAAACTCCCATAGTACTGGATCAATCAATGCGGCAACAGCGGCTGTAATAGGTGCAATGGCTGCGGAGGCTGAGAAGTGCCTTGCATCTCTTTCCAATTTCATGCTTGTGCTGGTGGTTAACGGGGTCTGTGATCGTTTCATGGGCGTCCAACCAAGCCTGCAGCAAGACCAAGGGCAGAGTCATCTCAATATACAATCAATTGGCTGGGAAGGTCAGGTAAGGTTGTTTGCTCAACAGTCTCACTGTATATACGATGGTGCTCTGGAACCAATCCTCAGGGATCATGGTGAAAGACTGCAAAAGACCTCATGTCCACGTCTTGAAGAAGCAACTGGCGTATGCTAAACTCTCTTGCTGGATGCATTTGCCAGTTGTTGTTGTTGATTGAGGAGCCACAGCTTCTATCTGCTGTGATGAGGATAATTTGTTTGGCTCTGTCTTCCTTGCACACATCATTCGTACAGCTCGTACCTGGCATTGTTCTAGGTAGTCCGGACTTGATATTGCAGTAGAGGACAGAGAGTCAGTCAGATTCCACAGATGAAACAGGATCCTTCATCTGGATGAGATCCACAGAGGTCTTGTTTCCTGGGTGGTGATGCACTGGTTAAACCACCAGTTCACACGAGCTACCTTCTAATGCTTGCGGCGCTGCAAATGTGCCTTTTCAAAGTGACCTGCCGCTTTCACTACCGGCCAAGTGCTCTTACCGCGTATACTGGTAAGAGCACTTCTTAGGTTTGTGTGAATTAGTGGTTTTGCCACAGGATCTCACCATTGGTCAAATCGCCAATACTTACGATGCGCTCTTGGCAACCAGTAAGCTGGGTGATACCCCCGCCCACGCACACACAAAATGAAAAATGGGCGTCAGCACGGACATATCATCATCGAACTGACTGGTCCCAGGTAATTCAGAATTATTTTATTCTATTCAGCTAGTTCCTTCTGGATTCGAACTCAGGTTTTGCATTTCAACAGTTCATGGATGAACGAACTGAGATAGGCCCCTCAATGTGGGTGATTAAACCACCACTACCTCTGTCACTCTTGGGAAAATTGGGAAAAATACCTGTTTTCCCACTTTTTACGAACTTTTCGGGGGTTGGACGAGGCCCGGTTTGGGCCTTGAGGGCCCCTTGAGAAAAAATAAAAGAAAAACAAAAGATCATGTTGGGGAAGGCTGTGCACTAAGTTGTACTCGCACCAAAACTCACACGCTCATATCTAACCGCTGTAGTGGCCAGTTTCAGGTTTTCATTGTTTGTGTTTTTTGTTTTGGTGCCCCGCCAGGGAGGCACGCCGCAGTCCACGGGCTGCTGACTCTTTGTGGAGGAGGGCATGCCCACACTATTACTTTGCAGAATGTATGCACCCGCTTTCCCGTCCTAAGTTCAGTTTCATTTTTTCTTTCCCTCTTCCTTCTTTCGTGGACCTGACACCCTTGCCGTAACGTCCTCACTGAGGGCATACTCACACAACGACTTCGCGCTAGATATGTACCAGGTATCACGTCCAAAGGAGTGTTTGTTTTGTTCTTTTTTTTTTTGGCTTTGCGACATTGATTGGGCTACTCATTGGTATTCTATCATTCCGCTGCGCTGTCTCGTACTCCATGAGAGAGGTCAGTCCCGGTCAGGTCAGGGCTTATATCTAAGTGTTCCACTGTGCTACAAGGTGCCATTTTGTATGTTTTGTATGTATCAGGATGTACATTGCTTGTTGGGATTCCACTAACACCGCATTGTCCATTCAGTCCTTTTTATCACATTGCGGATCCTTGTGCAAGGAAGATGAGCAATAGCGAACTTCAGCAATCAAACAGCATCATACACATAAGACCAGATAGTCGTGACCTCGAACCAAAAGCAGAATTACATCACGAGTTTCACCACATAAGAGTACACCAGAAGCTCATAATTATCTCTCTGCTACTTCCTAGGTAAACTTGATGCTTCTTGCTACGTAAACTTGGTGCTTCCTGTTACGTTCTTCGTGAGCTTGGTGCAACATGAACACGTGCGCACGCCCGGCGGGGGAAGGGAGAGAGATAGATAGATAGACAGATAGAAAGGTAGGTAGATAGGTAGATAGAGATAGATAGATAGATAGATAGATAGATAGAGAGAGAGAGAGAGAGAGAGAGAGAGAGAGAGAGAGAGAGAGAGAGAGAGAGAGAGAGAGAGA